ACATTTTCAGTAGGGTATGAAAAATTTGCATTAAGGTTTTAAATATATGCAAATTGTACTGCGTTCTCTTTGGGGGTGTGTACATATACCTATATTTCATACTTTAAAAAAAAGATTACGGAAATGTGGGCTTTCCTTATTTCTAATAATTTTCTATTCCTGTGAAATTGTCTGTCCATGACTCATTTCTTTTTCTATCAAATCATAATTTTTCTTTTTAAATCCAGGTTGCTTTTTAGTGACCGCCTTCTTTTTTTTTTTTTTTTTTTTTTTTAACTCTTTCCCTAACTAACAGAGTACCAAAGCAACAAAAACTTGGTACTTCAGCAACATAAATTGACAAAGAAATTTAAAATTCCCATAAGGTTGGAAGGTTGGTGACAAACCAAATACCTAGAGCTTAAAAAAGGGCTGTGAAGGAAGTGGTGAATTTTGTAAGTCAGTCTTAGGTTCAGTTCTATAAAATACATACTGTAACCTGTAGTCATTGGAATGACATTTGAAAACCTACATTAAATAGATTGATTGCAAATCACTCCTGAAGGAGCAGGTGTTCAGATCCCATCAAAAAGGCCAAGGATTGGGCCTTGAATCACTAGCTACCTGCTCAGAGCCTGGCAGTGAAACACTTGTAGTTCTGTAGGGTCACAAATATATGAGTTCAAATAAAGTAGACAGACTGTCTCTGTGCTTAACTGGGCTAGTAGAAAAAAAAAGTGGGTTTTATACTTTAAGATAGCACAGTATTAAGTCTTGGCAGTGTTTAGAGTCTAGTTAAATAGAATGCTTGTTTTATTTTAGTAAATTTGAATGTGACTGTTTATAATGCTGTAATGTTTTAGAGACTTGGTCATGGAACAAGATCATGCTGTGCTAAGAGCTTGCACAGCATGTCTTTACTCCAAGGAACATTCAGTCTAGGCATAAGACAAGATAAATTGATGGATATAGGCAGCATACTGACATAATGCTACAGTACTGGTCAGCAGGACAGAAAGCAAAATTTCTGATCATGTCCAGATAGATTGTTGTATACATCCTGACATAATGTTTTTACTTAAAAGTGCCACGTGCGTGTGATGTTATTGGAATACTTGTGTTGTATTGACAATTCAAACTAAACACAGAAAATGTAGTCACCACCTGGTTCAATCATGTGTACTTTATTGCCTTGTTAGATAAAGCTGCCCCTTGGCAGCCTTTCCCCATCATCTTTGTTTTATTAATGAGTAGTTTTGCCTTGCATTTTGAAAAGGCCATCCCTCTTCTGGCAGACCATGCTTTCTGGGAAGGCTAATGCTGGTTGCCTATGAGATAAGTGATGACTTTCAACATAGGAAAGATGTGTAAGTAATTTATGAATTAAAGCCTTTTATAGGCTATTGAACAAACACATCCAACTACAATAGAATGAGATTATCCCATTACATATTATTTTCTTTCTACTTGCATTTATGGAAGTAGTCCAGCCCAGGGTTTCTTTCACCACAAAATAGTGTCAAAAATGAAATTCTTTTGGGTTATTTATGATCTTCTCTTCTGTTTAACCCCTTTATGGTTTAGAACTTCTACTTTGTTTTGACAGTGAACATGCTGGTGAAGTGAAAAAAATTTTGGTGGTCCACCAAAGCTGTCCAGTGTAACAACTCTGTAGTTACGAGACACATCACTGATATGTCTAAGTTATTCCTCTGGTTCTGAGGACAAGATTAAAGACTATGTGGAATATAGTTCCTTTTGACATTACTGGAAAAACACCTAATAACTTCAGTGAGCCCACATCATTGCTCTGCTTTAGAACTGCATTTATGTTAATAAAATTTGAATATTTTCAAAGAAAAAAAAATGACTCGGATTAAGAAAACAATGCTTTTATTGGAAAGTTGCTAATGTTTGATTTTTATGCCCTTTAACACAATTACTAGGTTAAGTGTTGTCTTGCAGAAGAAGTGGAAGGAATTATCAATATTTTTAAGGTTTTTCCTTCTATCCATCTTTGAGGTTAAAAATACATTTGACCTATGTTTTGTGAAGTTCCCATTTTTGCTCTCAAAAAGAAATTTAAACACCAGTCTGATAAATAAGATTTTTGAGTTTATTTTCATTCCATACAGCCACAAGGCGTCACTTGTGTTCTTAGCAGGTCTGAGGAGGCATTTCCCTTCTCTTCCAGTGCACCTGTCAGTCTTATATAGTCAAATTGGTGAGCTCTGAACACTGCACTGCTGCTCTTCTGGAATGCCTGTTTGAAAGCTAGGGAAATTATAGACTGAGATCTTTACTCCTGGTTCCCATTTCTTGATAGCGGACTAGACTGAATCACAGGATCTGTTGGAAGATTAATATTTTGATTCAGACTTCATTAGCCTCTCCAAGATGCTATTGTATGTCAAATGAATTTTAATGGGAAACAGGTCTTTTCTCCCTTCTCTGTTTATTCTTTAGTTTCATAGATTTCTCTTCCCACTCTTTTCAGCATTGATACTTCTTCACTTTACACTTGTGCTATTTAATTCTTTCCCTTGTTCTCTTCCACCTTAAAACTCCAGATTTCTCTTTTTCACACCATTTGTTTTCATATTGCCTTTTCCTTTTGACATACTAAATTATTCTAAATCTCTGTCAAAGTTGAGACACACTGTGTCTGTCTGCTACAGAGCTCCTTCCCTTTTCTGCCAATGTATCTCATTGAACTGAGGTGATGGTTCTTATCCTGTGTTATGTTATTTCATCTTTTACTACTTCTGTCTCTGCAAAACATCCCTGTTCGTGCTGGAGTTCATCTTTCTTTACTCTGGTGTAATGGTTCTATGACCATTATCAAACCTGTGTCTTCCTTTCTTTGTGTCTCCAAGAAGTCCAGATCTGCTCTTTCCTTTCTCCTTCATTTTGTTGCGGCCACTATGACTCCCTATTGTTGCCTTAGCTAATTTACCACATTCTCTGTTAAAGTATCTGAAGGCCTCTGCAAAGTTTGGAAGAGTAGTTAAAAGTTGCAGTATTGGATAATAACAAACTTCTAGCAGGAAAAGTGTTGGTTTGAGTCTGTCCGAGGTGTGAGAAAAATAGAGCAAGTAAGGGCTGACATGACTCAGTATGTATGGAAACCTCTGTTCCTGAATTGCATGATTTACCAGGGCATGCTCCACACAAGGTGCAGTGCACAGTTGATGACGACTTCTTTTGCAAGATCATTCTTATAGTAAGAGTTACTGTTTCCAGAAAAGACACTTTCAAATGGGAATACCCGAAAGCTTAACCACTTAAGTATCTCGTGTTCTTGTGGATATCGAGTTCTGGGCATTTCAACCTCTTTGGAAAAGCGAAGTATTTTTGTCTGTGTGTGATGAGAAAATAAGACTGACAGACCTGATCTTTTTCTTTTGTCGAGGCCAATACGAGGCCTTCACAAATTAGGCAGTTGCCTGGGACATAACAAAACAGTCCCGAAGGTGTCTTGAGGTGTCCTCAGGGCTTATTCCTTTCTGGCTGGAACAGACTCGCTCTCTGCTCTCTCTGTGCTACTGCTCAGAGAGGTCTGCAGTGCCAATAGGGCACAAGCTCTCCCTAATTCTCACTGAAAAAAGTACAGAAAGTGTCCAGCATAACGCAGAGGAAAAGGCTGATTCCCTGTTGCTGCCGGTAAAGGAGTATGAAGAAGGCGACACAGTTTCCCCACCAACTCCCTCCTTTCCTTTCCTTCCCTTCCCTTCCCTTCCCTCCCCTCCCCTATCCCATTAGCCCACATTCTCTTCCTGCCCAGCCTTCCAGTGCTGTCTAATCTCATTTATAGGGGCTGCTGCCAGATCTGCTGGCTGCTGCAGTTTCTTGGCCGCTGTTTTCGGTGAGCGAGCCGAGAGCGCCGAGGAGGAGGAGAAGGGAGGAGGAGGAGGAGGACTGCTGCTGCTGTGTGGCGGAGCAGCGGCAGCACCTTTGACGTGCCCGTCCCCCACGTGACGGCCGCTCCATTGCGGGGAGGGAGCTGAGCCCGCCGCTCCCGGCAGCGCACGGAGAGCCGCAGCCTCGGCGGCGGCGGGCAGCAGCAGCAGCAAGGCAGCAGCAGCAGCTCCTCCGCCGCAGTGCGTGTGTTGTGTGCGTGTGTGTGATGAGCGATCGCCGCGTCCCTCCGCCGCCGCCGGCTGACACCCACCGCGCGGGGCGCGCCAGGAGCAGCAGGAGGAGGCAGGAGCCGCGGCCACCCGCGCAGTGACCTTGGCCCAGGAGGTAAACGAGCGGGCGGGCTCCGCGCCCCTCCGCGCCCCCGCCCGCGCCGCCCGCCGGGGGGCCGGGCCCCGCTCCCGCCGGCCATCCCGGACGGCTCCACGCGCGGCTGCCGGCGCGTCCGGGTGCTGGAAGCTGCGGGTGCTGGAGCTGGAGCCCCGGGCTCCGCGCAGGGCTGCCCGCGGGAGAGCCGGTACCTCCCCGGCCCTTGGCCGCCGGAGCCGCGCAGCCCCGGCCGGCGGTGCGGGGGCAGCAGCGGGCCGGCGAGCGGGCGGGGGGCAGCGGAGCCCGGACCGCTCGAGAGGTCTGGGAGCAGGGAGGGCTGTGGAGGTGAGTGCTTGGAGCGGGGCTCGGCGGCTCTCCGGGCTCTCCGCAGCCGGCGGTGTGGTCTGTAGATGGAGCACATTCTCACACCTGCGTGCAAAGCCGGAGCTACGGCATGATCCCAGCTCCTGCCTAGTGCAGCTCCCGTGTGAGCCGAGGGAGGGCGGGGAGGGGATGCGGCTGGCGGGGAGCCGGTGTTGTTCGGTGAAGTACGATCAAAGTAGTGAAAGCAACCCAAAGGTGTTCTGGCTTGTTTCTTCCTTTTCCCTTGTCACCCACTTCCCTGCCCCGGCATATGTGTATGAGCACAGATGTGACGGTGAATTACAGAGAAGTTCAAAGCGTCTGGTTTGCTTTTTGCGAGTTTGAATGTTACAAAAGTTGCTACGGCCCGAGCCGTGAGCAGAGGACGCTGCTGAATATGCGTCATGGCCCGAGCCAATCCTCCCAAAACTGGCCGGGAAGGTGCGGAGCGTCTCTTGTTGGAGCTCGTGAAGGGGAGGAAGGACCGCTTTGTCAGGAAGCGTCTGCGTGATGTGGTGGTTAGCGGTGTGTCAGTGAGCTATTCGGAATGACAATTCATTAACGTCTAAATTAGGTTAACGTATTACATCCATTATTTACAGGCAAAAGAGAGTAATGACAGTAAATGGTGAATTAGCAGCTTTGCTCTAATGTAAATATCCGTTGGAGTAAGAGCATACACTGATTTTGATAACATGTTAGGAGAAAGTCAGGTGCATTAATCATCAGGGAAACAAGGAGACCTGAGGCGATTCCTTACTGAAACCACTTTTACCTTTTACAGTGCAACATCCAAAAGCAGATCAAATTTGTGGGACATGGCACAAGGAAATAATTATGGGCAAAGCAGCAATGGGGTGGCTGATGAATCCCCAAACATGCTGGTGTACAGAAAGGTAAGCCTTTGTGTTTTTCAGAAGCTAAGAAAGGTAAAGTCGTGGACTCTTTTGCTTAGCAAGTGAGGCCATTATTTTTGCTGTTTCTCTCCAGTTTCATGAATACACAAATGACTGCATCTGTTGTTTGAAATGGTGAAATGCATGCACGTGTCAACTTTGCGTCGTGTTCAGAAACAGCTGGTTTTCAATTTGAAATACTTGATGTATTTTAGTCACTTTCTGCATTGATACATAGGATACATGGGGTTGGTCATGTGCCAGACTGGAACATGTTTTGAGGTCAGGTGTTCACTTGCAAAGTCTATTTGTAAAATTAATTAATATATATTAAAGCTAAATATTACCTGTACAGTACAATATTTCTCTCATGTGGGGAAGTCAGAACCATTAACTTATTTCATATGAGGGGAAAAAACTGATTAAAGATATCACTTGTCCACAATTGCCACAACTTAAAAAAACCCAAACACATACAGTCTAGAAATTTTCTCTGGGAAGAATTCTAATGTAATTATTCTAATAACATCAATATACAAATTTCCAGGTGTTGAACTCCAGGAGTGGGGCTTATTTAGCCACTGCGTTTTCATTTAAGTGAGAGTAAATCTTGGGGATTTTGAGATGTGTTTATACATTTTTTAAATAAAGCATTAATTGCATTTATCAAAAAAGAATAACAAAATAAATTCTAATAATAATGGAGAAAAATAATTTTGCTGTTGCAAACTGAAATAAGTAGTTATGCAACTCTTTTTTATTCTTAGTACACAGGACTTTCTAACTTGTTTGTGGTTGTTTTTAGCAGGTGGAAAAAATCAATACTTTTACTTTGTTAGAGGCATTGACTTTTCCCTTTAGAAGTTAACTGTAATAGAAAGCACCTGGTATATACTCAGTTTAGTCTTTGAGGTGAACTGAGGTTTCATCAGTAACTGTGGTAAGTGTTCTTTTCCCTGAAACTAAAAAACAGTCTTGAGTTGAAGTCTGATGCATGAGTTTTCTCTCCTCTTATTTTCAGATATATTGCTGATTTCAGTTAGTTTGTTGTAGCTGTTGTTTTGTAAAATTAGGCACCTTTAAGATAAGTGAATGAATTTATGAACCTAACTGTGGTTATCCTGTGTAAGAATGCTCATCTAGAAAAGTGCGGGATTACCTTGCCATTAACACCACAAGTGTGTTTCAAAATGCAGTAGTACACATGAATTTATACATGAAATTATGCTGTATTTATTAAAAGCAATATACCAAAGCTTATATTGCTCATTATAGGTTTTTGATTTTTCTAAACTGAATCTCTCCACATTTACCATTTACTTCCATGCTGAGGAAAAGGTCTTTTCTCAGCTTACTTAGTACACAGAGGGGCAACACAGAAAAATTATTTCTCCTCTCCTGTAGAGAGTTGCTTCAAGGAACTGTGACACGTGCTATGACACAAAGCTTGGAAACACGGTATTTAGTATGACCTCATGCCAAAATTTAACATTGCCTTTGAGCAGCCTCCAGATGGAAATGGAACTACTGAGGCAAATGACGAGAATCCTGGTGATACAGGGAAGATGTGAAAATGGGGAGAGGGGATAGGACACACCACCTCAGATGTCTGCTCAGCAAATCAAAGCATCAAACACCTTATCAGTTCTCTGCAAATCATTGGTAAAAAAATGGTGTCTTCCAGTGTAGCAGAGGGCTATCTCTTGTTGTCACTAAAGTGCAAGTGGCGCACTAAATATTAAACTTTTGAAAAATGCTGACTGTCTAGAGTATTACATGCCCTTTTTTGTTTTTGTATGTCTACTTATTTTTGTAGCATGGTGAATCAAAAGATCATTTAAGATTATGGCACACGACATTAGAGCACAGAGAGAAAGCTAAGTAGCCCTTCCTTTGGCAGTGCTCAAGGAACAGGCAACAAAATAATAGATAACTTTTAAAAAAGTCACCTGCCCTTTCCTGAAATATGATATTACTGTAAGCAAATGTGTTCTAAATTCCAGGTCTAGAATATAAGAGAAGGATAGTTATGAGGAAATTATTTCACTTCAGAATATATAATCTCTGAATATAAATCTTTTATAGGAACAACTAAATCACAGGATTCCTTGTAATACATTTGAAAACACAATACTTCTCTGTCTGTCATTGTGTTGGGAATGAAAGCATTGTACAGAGTGAACAAAGAGCTACAACTGACAGCTTCATGAAGGACTCTCTTTTTTTGGCCAACTGGAAAAATATTAATAGTTGCTAGAAAAAAATCTAAATGTGCTATTGGCTGGCTTCAGTCTGAAACTGAATTTGTAGTCTTATATTTTGAATAAAATTGCTGAAATTCACAAATGTGGAAATGTTTTCTTTGAGTACTTTATACAACATCAACAGATGGAATAGCATGCATTTTATGATGTGTACCTGCAAGGAATAGATGGGACTTCTCTTACTACTTGTGTTAATGAAGAGGTGAAATTTAGCCATGCTGAGTGAAGACTGTTGCTTATGCTATAAACCATAGTTTTGTAACCTGGTAATTCTTCTAAACTAACACAATCTGAACTAAGTGTATTCTAAACTACATGGAATTACAGCCCTTCATTGTCTCAATCCTGATTCTGTTAGGAGCATTTTATAGAAAATTCTATACAGAATGAGGTGCTAGTGTTTACAAATTCAGTATTTAACACTGAATTGTTATAGAATCATTACTGCATTTTAATTAAATTTCAAACTCTTGACAAAAGAGGCTGGTTTTCTTTTTTTTTTTAATGTATTTGGTTTGTGATTAGTTACTTATTTGAAGAATTGTAGAAAGGCAGATTATCAAATTGTAATCTTGAGTAATATAGCATGCAGATAGCCTGTCATTCTCATAGTAGCTTTTATTCCTAGCCAAAGAAGAATATCCTTACATTTTGCTTTCAGATATGAATTTTAAAAAAAACTCAGCATAGGATAATTAAATATTCAATACATACATAAATTAGAATTACTTATTTGAATCTGTGATGGAAAAGACAGCAGCAGAGATAAATAGTTCCCTATATCATTTTTACACTACCTTTTAAGATGCTTGTGTCAGTGTTTTTATGCCTTGGGGAATAATTTTTATTTTAATAGAATGTCAGCTGCATTATTCTTTTTGTCTATCAGCCTAATTATAAAGTAATGACATGTGACATATTATTGGCACTGACGTACCTTAGAAAAAGTCCTGAATTTTTCTGCTAGTAGCCTGAGGCAATATGAAAAATGTAAAACCCCTTCCTTCACTTCCACTCCAACAGAGTCCATTACAGTCAGCAATTAAGAGATAAGAGACTAGAATCTACAGTATTTTAACATCAAAAATTGCTCATGAAGAAACCTCAGATTTTGGCAACACTAACTAGCTACTGCAAACTAGCTCTTAAAGAAGGAACTTGAGATGTAGTAGAAAGCCAATACTGTGATGCTTTTCTAAGTTTCAGAGCCTGACCTGCCTTTTTTTTTTTTTTAATCTCTGCACAAATAATTGAAAGAATAAAGGTTGTGTATGAGGAACTTCTCTTTGAGACCTACTGCTGGTCTTGCTAAACCTTTATCTTTCTGGTCTGTGCTTAGCTTGCTTTTTTAGTCAAACGTGCTGCGAGGATTAGGAGTTCTGATTTGTAAGTTTAATGATTATTGTATTGCTCTCTGAACTAGCCTCATTTAAGAACTGATAGCTTTATTTTGCAGTAATAAGATTAGCCCTCTGAAAAGTAATATTCTTGTGACTGAGCCTTTGATTCTCTACCTTCCTCACTGCCCCAAGTGTTAAAATAGCTTTTGCCAAAGCTGATTAAAATCACTAACAGTTGGGGCTTTCAATACCCTAATAAAGATAATGAGATGTTTGTTCTGTTTCTGTGACAGTTGTGGAAAGTTATATATGCCAGTACTCATGTATAGCAAGGCCTGGATTTGTAATCTCAAACTCCTTAGTTTATTATGGTCTGGAAAGCAGTGCTGAGGAAAGGGACCTGTGGATCCTGGTCAATGGCAAGTTGAATATGAGTCAACAGTGCCCTGGCAGCCAGAAAGGGCCAACCGTGTCCTGGGGGGCATCAGGCACAGCATCGCCAGCTGGTCAAGGGAGGGAATTGTCCCGCTCTGCCCTGCACTGTGAGGCTTCACCTGGAACAGTGTGTGGGTTTTTGGGCACCACAATATAAGAAAGATATTAAGTTGATAGAGAGTGTCCAAAGGAGGGTAACGAAGATGGTGAAGGGCCTTGAGAAGAAGCCATATGAGGAGCAGCTGAGGTCACTTGGTCTATTCAGCCTGGAGAAGAGGAGATGCAGGGGAAACCTCATTGACAGAATGAAAGGGAATGGCCTGAAGTTGTGTCAGGGGAGGTTTAGGTTGGATACTAGAAAGAGGTTCTTCACCCAAAGGGTGGTTGGGTACTGAAACAGGCTCCTTAGAGAAGTGGTCACAGCACCAAACCTGACAGAGGTGTTCGGATGATACTCTGAGGCACATGGTGTGAGTCTTGGGGATGGTCCTGTGCCAGGCCAGGAGCTGGACGCAATCATCCTTGTGATTCTCTTCCACAGCATATTCTGTGATAGAAACCATGCCTCCAAAGTGTGATACTTAGTAAATGCTGTAAAGAGCAATAGCCATGCAGTGAAGGGAAGAATTGCTCTGATGCTGTGCATTTTTGAATATGCCATCACAACCTATGGAGGCATCCTGATCCCAGGGCTTTTTTGTTACTACACTGGAAATGTCAAGGGTATTCTAAGGTAGTAGAGATAAATATTTTTTCTTTCTTTCTTTCCTAGGGTGGTGTATTTACTTGTTTATTTATTTACAAAATTTTATGTTACAGTATACCTCTAGATTATGCTGTTTCTTCTTTTGACAAGAAGAGTGGCACTGTTGTTAGTCTTGGTTGCTGGTCGTAGTTTTATTCCTACACTCATCGTTATAGAAGTGACAGAGAAAGGTCCACCTCAGGAATTCCTGCTGTA